AAGATGTTAGTACTGAGTAGTAGAGAATTTGAGTTGAGTTTTGTTTTTTGAAGTGGGGTCTCACTGTGTTCAGGTGATCCTCATGGAACTACAGGTATGTGCCACCAGCTCCAGCTAGAGAATGTTGAGTGTTAGAATACAAGTTCAAGTTTGATGCTCTGGAAATTCGAAAAAGGTTTTGACACAGGTGGATCCTGTACTAGAAACTACATTGGCAGCTGAACTGGTTTTGGAAGAGTGGCTAGAAGTATCCCTGTCAGTTGAAAGGCAGATGCTCAGAAGAGGGTGGTAGACAGGTGGATGTGGGTTCCAGAGCCAGTTCTGAGCTGAGTAGTGGGCTGTGTTGTCTGAGAAGTCAGCAGGTCCTGATAAAGAGACCGGAACCTCTTCAAACCCATTGAGGATTTTGTGCTTTCTGTAGAAAAGCACAGCAGCACTGCCCCCAAGAGTGAGGAGGCTGGCCTGACCTCGTGGTGTTTGTAACCTGAAAAGCTTTTTAATAGTAGTTTTGCAACTTTAAAGGAATGAACAAATTCTGATCTACATTCTTAAATCTTCACTCAAAATATGAGTGGGGGGAGCATTTATCAGATTTTTTTTATTACTCCCAGTATGTCTTTGCTTAGAACAGAGCAGGTAAGGCAGCAGATGAAAGTCTGTTACTACAGAGAAGAACAAAGAGAAGTTTCCACCCAAACATGCAGCAGTCTGTTTTTGCTAAGCAGTGAGCTTCTGGGGCGGCTGAGTGCTGTGCACAGTTGGAAACAAACCAGTATTTATAAAAACACTTTCCTAGCTTTCTCTATGTAGAGGATGTGGAGAATATTAATTAGAATATTGAGCTACAAGTACCAGAATCTGTGCAAACTGGGGTAAACAGTGCACATGAATTTTTTTGTTGTTGTTTTTTGGTTGGTTGGGTTTGTTTTTTTGTTTGTTTGTTTGGTCTCTTTGAGACAAGGTCTCACTGTAGCCCCAGACTTGCCTGCCTCTGCCTCCTGAGCACTGGGACTAAAGGCGTGAGCCACCATACCCAGCAAGGATTTCTGAAAGAGTAGCTTTGGACCCCAAAGGCAGGGATGCAGCAGGGTCTCCCGAGAGACCGGAAACCCTCAGAAGGCTTCCTCACAGCTTTCCTGATTCACGCCTACGTTTTTCTCAGTACAGTGTACATTTTTCTTTTCTTAGTCCTATTGAGAGAATATGACTCTCCTGTCCCCAGAGGTTCTGGTATTAAATGTTACTTAACAGAGAATGACTTCCGCACTCATTTCTAGAGAAGCTCCAAACTGTCTTATGGCAGATGTGCATTTCTGGAGCATGAGCAGTGGTGAGGGGTTGGGTCTGGTGTGAGTAGGACCTGTTCTGTGTGGGTAGATTAGTGATAAGAAGGGCGGTGACAAAAACAGAAGTGCAGGTGAACAGTAAGTGCCTGAGATTTTCTTCATTTCACTCTCTTCCCTTGCTGCTTTTTCTCCCCAGGTGCTGGGGGGTTGAACTCAGAGTCTTACTTCTGATGGGCAGGCACTCCATCATTGAGCCACACCCCCTAGCCGATGTTATCTTTTAATACACAGGCTATTCGAGATAGGAATTTTAGCAGGTTTGGGTTTAATGTAAGCAGACATTTCATTACAGTTAATAAATAGAGAAAAGTGAAATTGTTGGTACTAAGAGTTAGGAAACTAAACACAGTAGACTTGAAAAGGCACAAGGTCTCTATGACAGACCATGGACATGAGACCTTAATTCCTAAGTTTCCATCCATTGCATCTAGATCATCTACTACTTAAGATCTTAAGAAATACTGTGTGGAAAATATTTTAAATTGAACAGTCACAGTAGTTGACTCTATATGTTAAGGTATCTCTGTGACTCGAATGGAGTTTGTAAAGTGATAGGACTTAAATTTAATGATTTTCATGGCTTAGTACTTAAGAGCATACGATACTTAAGTATAAGGAAGGATGGAGTAGGCAACTAACTGCTGAAGCATGTTTAGCTTCTTTATATATATATATATATGTATGAAGAATATGTATTATATATATCTTCTCCCTGTAGCCGTAGCTGGCCTGGATTCACTATGGGGACCAGGCTGGCCTCGAACTCACAGATATCCACCTGTCTCTGCCTCTGAGTGCTGGGATTCAAGGCGTGCGCCACCACGCCCGGCTGTTTGTTCATATTTTTGCTGTTAGAGATTTTGCTTGGAGTGGTAGTTTACTCTTTGACCCAATAAGGGCAGAGCAATTAATATCTTCCTGCCTCATTTAACCCTCGGTATGCTTCATTTTGGAAAACAGCTGTTCTCAGTAATGATTACTGTTTTCAAAACAAGAAAAATTAAAAATCAGGTATGGTTGCAAAGACCTGCAATCTCAGCACTTGAGAGGCAGAGGCAGGAGGATCTAGAATCTACTGCCAGCTTGGGCTACATGAGACCCTGTCTGAAAACAAAAAACTAAACCAAAAAGCAGAAACCTTGCTTTTATTGTTGTTTTGTTTGTTTGTTTTGTTTTTTTTGTCTTTTTGAGACAGGGTCTCCCTGTAGCCCCAGCTGTCTTGGAACTCATTATATAGACCAGGCTGCCCTTGAACTCACAGAGATCACCTGCCTCTGAGTGCTGGGATAAAAGCTGTGCGCCACCACGCCTGGCTGTGAAGACAGTTTTATAGGGAAGAGGTTTCTTGGTCACAAATCTGGAAGCAAACATGCATGGCAGTGTTCCCGCGGTCCGTTAGAAGTTGCTTCAGTTTTCAGGAGTAGGAACAGTGCAGGTTAAGGTCCTTCTATACTGTGAGATTATGGGCCAGTTCTGTCTGACCTTTAATGCAGAGGTCTGAAACTTTACTGAAGACATGGGGCTGGAATATCTGAGGTTAGATAGAGGTTTTCAGTGGGTCAGTAAGAGGCACTTAATCATTAGTGCTGCCTGCCCAGACACATCTTACCAGCTGAGCCTCTTTTTTTCCCTTATGGTATTTTTGGGGCCCCACAAATGTGGTTTTTTCCAGGAGGAGAATCTTCATAATGGAAGTGCTTCAGAGATCTCTGCAGTCCAGAGGCCAGATGTGTGGGTCCCACAGGAGAATGGAGCTTTCTTCCTGGATACAGAGAATAATAGCTCTTGGCATCATCTTATTGTATTTGGTGCTTGGCAGAAAGGTCCTAGGGTTTGTTGAGGTCCCTGCCCTGGAAGGGCAGGATTTTGTGTTTTGTCCTTCTCCAGGATGTCCCACTGCCTAGTATGTAACAGGCATTTAGGAAATATTAGAGTGAAGTCATAATCTTCAAAGTCACTCAGTCTCTGGGCACTTCCTCCCTCATAAAAAAGGAATTTCAACCATATCAACTAAGTCTGGTTCTCATAATAGTACACTAAAATTCAGTCTTGTTATTTTAGATAATCTGCTTCATTGTAAACACCATTGCAAACTTGAACATGTAGTATTTCTTAGTATTAAGCATACTCAGACATATCTATTAATTTTTGTAAAATCTTCAAAATAAAAGCCACATTCAAATTTTTGTATAGAGAAGGCATTTGTGGTGGGATACTAATACAGGTGAGTCTAGGTGAAGGGTTCACCCAGTGTCTTAAGATCTTTATTCTGGCAGCTTGTCTATAAATTCAAAATGATAACACATTAGTAATATGAACTCAAAAGCCCAATGTACTGATTAGAAAGAAAATATAATAATGGTAATAAAAATATGAAAGGTAGGTGTTAATAAGGAAAATATTTGGGTGTTCATAAGTTCACTTAAATACTTAGGGGATTGGAGAGATGGCTCAGCAATTAAAAGCACTGACTAGAAGACTCAGGTTGGGTTCCCAACACCCGCATGGCAGCTAACAGCTATCATAACTCCAGTTCCAGGGGATCCGATACCCTCTTCTGACCTCCTTGGACAATATACATGGGTGCACTATATACATGTAGGCATTACACTCATACACATAAAATAAAAATAATAAAATGTAAAAAAAAACTTAGCTATAGAGATTTTTCTGTGTGTAAAGAAACTGGAGCTTCACTCTGAAAATTTTCATTTTGAATATGAAGGAAGTATTTAAGGAAAGACTGTTTGGGATCTTACCTTGCTCCCTCCCTCCCTTCTCTGTTTCACTCTCTGTGTAAAAACTCTGTGCGGTTCCCTCAGATTGAGTGCCCAAGCTGGCTGACGTTAGATTTTATTCTGCTGTAACTTAATTTACTGCCCAGACAGTGGCTCCTTCATTGCTTCATGATCCTCATGTTCCTTAACTTAGACCTTGGTGGATTTGTAAGCTCCTCTTTTGGTACGTTGGGCCACTTCCTTTGTCCCTAGATACGGTCTCTGGTGGTGGTGTCCTGATGTGCCCTGAAAGTGTGTTGTCCGGAAACTTTAACATTGAAGATTTGGTGGTGTTGACTTGTTTTCCAGAATAATGTCACATTGGTGAGAATCACCTTACAGTCTTTGTTGTATTCTGCAAAGTAGAGGCAAATTTTAGTCAGAAAGGTTCTGAATTTAGTCTTAAGTTCCTTGGTTGTGATTAGCACATGCTTTGCCCATTGAGGAGCAGAGTAGGAGTTAGAATCAGTTTCGTGGCTCATGTTCTGGTGGCCACAAGCTTCTTCCTCTACCCCGTATCTGAGTATTTCAGATAAATAAGAACATTTCACTGTTTTTAAGACATGGATACTGAAAAGGGTAAATTGATATGAAAACTTGGTATGTGGACATGTATGAACAGATATGAGCAAATATTTCCTGTTATCTAACAATATCCCAAACAACCCAAAGCCAATTGGGAGATTTATTTGCTAGGTAGATAAATGTATGAAATTTATAAAATAGAAAAAAAAAATCTCTATCCATTGTCCAGGTTCTGTCATTAATTGCAATGGATCTTGAGAAAATTTTTAGTCTTGGTGATAAGTTTTAGGCTTTTTCAACTAAAATCTAGATATATTCAAAATACTTAATGGAAACATTTATTTTTCTGCAGTGTATCCTGAGGGTACAGGCGGGTGTTTGAGGAATACATGCGGGTTATTAGCCAGCGGTATCCAGACATCCGCATTGAAGGAGAGAATTATCTCCCTCAACCAATTTATAGGTGAGTGCATGTCAGCAGCTCGAACACAATTTATCTGATGTTACAAACTTTGTGAATTGGTTCAGTTACCTGCACTTGGCTCTTGTAATTTCTTACTTGGTTATAATAAGCAGAGAATGCTGCTTTAGAAATAATAGGTTTATTTGACCTAACTAGAGAAGGCCTTTTCTGTAAGATGGAATGGCGTCGTTTATGGAGTAATGACTTAAAACTCTGTTTTCTTACTTAATTTATTCTGGGAAAATAGGCTAAGAAATCCCTCTTTTTTGGTACCAGAGATTGAACGCAGAGTGTTTCACCCCTAGGTACCCCAAACTTCCTAGAAAATCAGTATTAAATTCCATATAATTAGTAACTTTTGGATTTTATTTCCAGAAAATGTCTACACATAAAGTTTATTAAATTTCAAAATAGACTAGAAACTGTACTTTCTAATGAATTTGTTTCTTTTCTTTTGATAGACACATAGCATCTTTCCTGTCGGTCTTCAAACTAGTGTTAATAGGCTTAATAATTGTTGGCAAGGATCCTTTTGCTTTTTTCGGCATGCAAGCTCCTAGCATCTGGCAGTGGGGCCAGGAAAATAAGGTATGTGGCTTCAGTAACTGGGGAGTTTTAGGTCGTCAGTGACAAGGGTGTGTGTGTGTGTGTGTGTGTGTGTGTGTGTGTGTGTGTATTCTCATTTGCCTGTTCATGTGTATTACTTCAACTTACACCACTTTTTCCTTTTGGGCAAGTCACTTAACAGCTCTTGCCTTCAGTTTGCATAAAGAATGAAGAATACAGGGTAATCTTACTGTTTTGTTTTGGGGGAATAGGGAATGTTTCTCTAGAAAAAACTGGGCACACAGCCGGGCGTGGTGGCGCATGCCTTTAATGCCAACTTTTGGGAGGCAGAGGCAGGAGGATCTCTGTGAGTTTGAGGCCAGCCTGGCCTACACAATGAGTTCCAGGCCAGCTGGGGCTACAGGGAGACCCTGTCTTGAAAAGGCTGAAAAAAAAAAACCTGGGCGCACAATAATCTGATTTTGATTCTATAACTTGGGTCAGATCATATCTAGCAGAGCACTTACGTGGAACATTGGCCTTTTATACCAAATAATGAAGTGCTGATGGATTGATTCACATTTTTTAAATGAATTCCCATTAATTATCACAACTTCTTTTTCTTATCTGCCTTTGACTTTTCTATTCATGGAGATCTGTGACAGATTGCTGGAAGGAATTAATTTAAATACACTTGAGAATATTGTGCTATTTTTTCCCTCATACAGCATACATTGTAGATCACTCTTTTTTAAAAAAAATTTTTTAATATCATATTTCTATTTTATGTGTATGAGTGTATTGCCTGCATGTATGTGAGTGTACCTGTGTTGTGCAATGCCACAGAGGTCAAAAGAGGGTGCCGAATTCCCCTGGAACTCTCTGCAAGAGCAGTCAGTGCTCTTAACCACTGAGCCATCTCTCCAGCCCCAGTAGATCACTCTTTTTTCTGTTTTACTTGAAATCATTTTTTTCCCCTGAGTTATCTACCATCAGAAATGAGTCTAATTTTATTTTGCTTGGATGGGAGTGCTTGGCTGCTGCACTTCATGAAGTAGTCTGTGTGGGATACTTGGCTTGTTCTTTAGATCTAGTCTGAATACCTTTAGCAGACTGCTGCACAGTTGTGCTCCTAGAACAGGCACGCTATCTCTTATTGAAATGTGTCTCAACCCTATATTAACAAAGCGTGGGCTTGGAAAGGATTACGGTGAAGTTCAGTGCTTACTGATGTTTTGTGCTGTACTTACGTATGTATGCCAAACCTTTTTTACTTTTAAAAAAAAAGGATTTATTTTTATTAGTTATGTGTACATATGTGGCATGTGCATAAGAGTGCAGGTGTCCATGGAGGCCAGAGGCATAAGATCCCTAGAATAGCTGAAGTTAGAGGCAGTTGTGAGCCACCTAAGTGGGTGCTGGGAACCAAACTTTGGTCCTCTGCAAGAGCAGTGTACCCACTTACCCAACCACTGAACCATTTCTCCAGTCCCTGCATGTTACTTATATAGATTTATTTGCTATTCTTATTCTGTTGTGGAAAAGGAATATGGTGAAACAATACAGCTTTTGTAATGGTACGAAGGTGTTGTTCCTATGATACCAAATCCCAGCTAGCTCAAATAGTGTAGGTGGGCAAGCTCTTCCTCTTCTGTGGACATTTATTTTCTCAAACAATGTGCTATAAATTGACTTCTTCACTATATCCAACTTTTAGTTCAGTAATTTTGCTAAATTAAAATTTTCTGTCCCATGAGTCTGGAGAAATGGCTCAGCTCAGCTTTTAAGAACACTGGTGGTTCTTCCAGAAGACCCAGGTTCAAATCCCAGCACCCACATGGCAGCTAACAACTGTCCATAACTCCAGTTCCAGGGGATCCAACAACCTCTTCTGACCTCCGTGGGCATTGTATGACACGGGTGCACTTACCTATATGCAGGCAATACATGCATGCACATAAAATAAATTTTAAAAAAAAGTTTAAAATTTTCTGTCCCACAAAGCACTTCTTGCTTTTTGGAGATTATAGATTTGCCTTCAAAAAGTGAATAAATATACTTTACTTTGTCAGGCTTTCTAAACCTACTTCTCTCTTAGGTGGTTTTTAAAATGATTTTTTGAAACTTAAATAGGTTGTATGTAGTATACATGAAGTTGCTGGGGTTATAGCACTATTCTCTTGCAAATGCATGTATTATTTTACATATAAAACTGGTAAAATGAACCTTTTTATATTGGTATTTTATTTAAATTTTGTTATATGTAAGTGTTTTAGGAATTCTGCATACAAAATGAGAATGTTTTAGAAATTCTACATACAAAATGAATGCCTGAATATATGTGTTTTAGAACTTCTACATACAAAATGATGTTTTAGAAATTCTACATACAAAATGAATGCCTGCATATGTGTTTTAGAAATTCTACATACAAAATGAATGTCATGTGTAAGTTCTTCAGCATGTATAGAGCTGTGAATTAATACTTCATTTTTTTTTTTTTTTTGATGTGTGAATGACATCTGAACCTGTGGAATAACAGGTTATGTGAAAACTTTTAAAGTAGATTGAAAGAAAGCATTTATCAAATTAAGATTGAGACTGTCAGAATAAGTTCTGTTTGACTTGCAGGTCTATGCATGTATGATGGTTTTCTTCTTGAGCAACATGATTGAGAACCAGTGTATGTCAACAGGTGCATTTGAGATAACTTTAAATGGTAAGTTCTAAATACCATACATTTTGCGATGATTTTAAATGCTTTATAACAAACATTGGCCTTTTTATTTTTCATGAGAAACTTCTGTAATGTTCACGTAAAAGAGCTTATGTGATAGAAGTTGAAAATTCAAGAAACAGAAAAATTTAGAAGATTTTAAGTTCTTCTCCATCTTTATTGCTACTTGAATTTTTAGCGTGTCTTGAAGAGTTGGCATTCCTATGCTACATCATCTGGCTAGTCTTCATCTGTTCCCCGGGCTTTAAAATAAAACCTGTATGGTAATTCCTGAATTCCTTTAGAGAGCTCTAGACCTGTTCTGGGTGCTTTGCCTGGGAGTGTTAAACATACCCAATTCCAAAATAAGGTCTTGACTACTTCATACTACAATTCCTATATTCGCTGATTTGATTCTCCTCTGGCATTTTTGTTCATTTAATTGTACTACGTTTTGTCTACCTAATTTCCCAGAACCTAGGGTAACTGCACATTCTTCCTACTCCCTATGTAAGGCTTCCCCAGGTCTTCCTCAGTTCTATTTCCTGAGTTGCTTAAATATTTATTTCTGTCTTCACTACCACTATCCCGTCCATGCCGCCTTACTCTATTCCACCTCCTTCGTTCTCTGTACAGTAAATACAGCTCATGAGCTAATGATGATTTTCAGGGTTTGTTTGTTTGTTTGTTTTTTGGTCTTTTTGAGACAGGGCCTTCCTGTAACCCCAGTTGTCCTGGAACTCACTATGTAGACGAGGTTGGCCTTGAAGTCACAAAGATCTGTGTGCCTCTGCCTCCCAAGTGCTGGGATTAAAGGCGTGTGCCACCATGCCCGGCTGATTTTCAGGTTTTTTAAAAATTATTTTTATTTTATGTGTATTTATATTGCCTGCATATGTGTAACTGCACCCATGTCGTGCAGTGCCCACAGAGGTCAGAAGAGAGTGTCAGATCCCCTGGAGCTGGAGTTACACATAGTTGTTAGTTACCATACGGGTGCTGGAATCCAGACCCAGGTCCTCTGCAAGAGCTGCCAGTACTCTTAACTGCTGAGTTATCTCTCTAGCCCAATATTCAGTTTTAATGGTTGAAAATAGTACACGAAATGCAAAGTTCTGTGATAACTAAAGTTTTCAGTTTCATTGAGGAAATTCATAGAAATTTGTTCTATTTGAGTATGCCTTTATAATATACTTGATTTTTGCCTTCTGGCCCATAAAGCCTAGAATATTTACCATCTGACTTGTTATAGAAAGTTTGCCAGAATCTGCTCCAAAAAGTAAAGTGATTTGAGAGAATCTCACTATGCAAAAGCCCTGGTTGACCTCAAACTCATGATCCTTTGCCTCTTCCCTTCTAAGTGCTAGGGTTACAGGTGTGCACCACCACTGTGCCTGTGCACCACCACTGTGCCTGTGCACCACCACTGTGCCTGTGCACCACCACTGTGCCTGTGCACCACCACTGTGCCTGTGCACAATGATTTTTTTAATGCAGATTTCATTGTGTACCTTGAGTGTTTTAAATTCATTAAGTAACCTTACTTCCTTTTCTAGATAAAATTCAGAATATTCAGTATGACCAAAGGTCTTACAGGAAATAGGTTAGGGGTCAACAGAGCATGGTTCATAGTCCTGTGTTTCATATCCTCTGTTCCTGTTTGATGGTTTCATTTAACACAACTCTGCCCATCTTTAAAGTGTTTGACCCCTAGCTGCTTTCAGGTTGTTGTGAGAATTGAATGACTGATAGAGACTGTATCGTCCCTGAACAGAGACATTCAGCTCCTACTTTGTTTGCTGCCCCCAGTCTAGTTTTCTCTGCCTCTCCACTTACCCTCGTAGAACTCCCTTGTACAGCCTTCGCGGACTTGCTCTCTCCTTGAATGTGCCAAACTCGTTTCTAGCCTTCTAGCCTTTACACTTCTTTCTGCCTTGAAACTTTTCTAACTCCATGAACTTTCCCTCAGTCTTGGTAATCTAGCTTTATCATCTCAATTTACTGATGATATTTCCCTGGCTGCTCAGCAAGGGAGGCTTTTGTTTGTGCTCCTCGTAGCACGGTGGCACTCTCTAGCTTTATTTTGTAATTTTTTTGAGACAAGGTCTCACTATATAGGCCCAGGTGGCCTGGAACTTGCTGTGTAGACCACCAGGCTAACCTTGAGCTCAATAGAGATGTGCCTACTTCTGCTTTTCCTGAGTACTGAGATCAAAGGCAGGCACCACCATACCCAGTGCACTCTCTAGTTCTAATAGTTCATAATTGTAATTTTGCAGCAACTTGTGATACCTGATATTTCCTTTACTGTGATGGAAACTCCCTAAAAAATAAGCTGAACAATAAATATTTGTGGGGTGAATGTCATCTTTAATGTTTTTTGGGGGGTCGGGGCTTGCTATTTATTGTTCTAGATGTACCCGTATGGTCTAAGCTGGAATCTGGTCATCTTCCATCCATGCAACAACTCGTTCAAATTCTTGACAATGAAATGAAACTCAATGTGCATATGGATTCAGTTCCGCACCATCGATCATAGCCCTACCTAGCAGCACTGAGGACTTTTGTAAGTAGCTTAAAATACCCTAGTTATTCATCGGTTTCTATTTATCAGAAATGTTAGTAGATACTATATATATTGTCATTTTTATTTTCTACATAAGATTAAACCGACGGATGTGTCCTTCAAGCTCTGATCTCCTAGTAGCCAGAATTGATGTTGTATTACAGTTGATAGATGTACAGTTTCTGCTTAGCTTCAGATAACTTAGTTCCTAAAAGTATGCAATTTTTAAAACATGTTCTAGATAAAAAAAACTGAGCGAATGTATGTGTATGAAGAGCATTGGTTATCTTTCACTTAGCAGAATCAGTGAGCTAACTATAAGACTTTTTACAAAAGTGATTATTGAATAAAATGTTCTTTTTTTCTAAATCTTTCAGACACTAAGGGATTTTGCAAGAGCAGCGGGACTGACATTATGAAGGCCTGTACTGAAGACAGCCAGCTGTTAGTACAGACCAGATGCTTCTTGGCAGGCTCGTTGTACCTCTTGGAAAACCTCGGTGCAAGATAGTTTTTCAGTGCTGGCATCTGTTGGAATTCTGCACATTCGTGGAGTGCAATAATACTGTATAGCTTCCCCCCAAGTTCACCAAGTTAATAGTTTCTTCTTTTTTACATGTCATTATTATTAATAACTTTTTTCTTAGTCTTGTTTGAGAAAATAGAAAATTGAGTTACAACTTGAGTTTTTTTCAAGATGTCTGTTAAGCCTGTTGTGTTTTTATATGAATTTTTATCAGATAGCTCTAATTTGGCCATGTTTAATTTATATAGTTTTCAAAATACTGCAGATTGTGAACAGTGAATTATACAAGATTATGGGGGGGAATCTATTATCCAGAGTACTCTACCAATTTGTGTGTGTGTATGTGTGCGTGCGTGTGTGATTACCAGAGAACTATTATAAAACCAACTGCTTTTAAAATCCAGTTGTGTAGTTGAAGTGTCTTGCCTTGACCAATCTGAGTTGATTAATGGGCCTTTATACTAAACTAATAAAAAAAACTAAGCAGATGTAAGTTAAATGAAAAGGTTATTTATTGCTCAGTGTACCTGTTAACATTATTTTTAATAACCATCTGCCTAATTTTTCGTTTGTGACTTTCATTTGTGAATCTCATAGACGACACAGTTTAGATTCACACACACAATAAGCTCATCTACTGTTTTTAGAACAGCTGAAACTCAACTCACTAAATAAAAATTCAGTTAAGCCTCTTTACAAAATTTATATTAGGTAATTAGAGATTACCTGTCTAGTCATTGAATTCTTTTAACATCATATACCAGAATTTCATTGTATTTGGAAAACAAATTGAAAATATTTTTTAATGTTTTCGTAGTGCTCCTAGAGTTGTTAAGGGAAACTTGAAGTTGATAAAGACTAAAAATGGTTTAACAGAAGTGAGCCACAATGTTGAAAACAGTTACACAGGGTGATAACACTTCTGCAGACCAGCCTCAAATTTGTTAGTGGAAATGAAAGGGTTTAAGGAAAATATACCAAGATTAGCATTGGTTTTACCCAACACTCAAATGTTTAAAGAACTAACCTCACTCCTGAACATATGTTGAATGCATGTCAGGCAACGGCTCTGGCTGTGACAGTCTCAAGTGGAATCTACTGTGATCTTCAGGTAGCAGGAAGTTAGTCTAATGATTCACTGAAGAAAAATGATTAAATGTTATACTTTTAATTGGGGTTGTAGAACTGCTAGCCAGGTTCTCTGGTGATAGACAATGTAATTTAAACTGAAAGTTCCTTAGACGTCATTATTTATTTATAGTGTTTTTTTCTGACTAGGTCTTAAAACCTTGTTAATATGATTGCTTACTACTCCAGACTCCACATCTTGTGAAGTTGAATGCCTTAGGGGTTTTCAAGTAATGGACATTCCACTAGTGACACAGTTAGCTTTACGGCATGTAGACATTCAGATTTGGGGCCACGGATGGTCAAACTATGTGAAGAAGCTAAGAGTCAAATCCAGCTTTCTCCATGTTTGCCTTAGGTTGAATGATTTGTCTTCTAGTTAAGAGGGTTAAGAGACTTGGACCTACTAAAACTCGGCTGTTTTGTTGGCACTCATCTCTATTTTGTTTTATGCTTAGCCATATCTAAATCCCGAATTTAATAGTCTACTAAACAAGTGAGATGCATGCTTATAAAAAATATATAAGGAAAAGAAGAAAGAAAACTATTTATAACCTTGTTATATTCCTAACACTTCAAAATTTATTAGTTGCTTATGCGTTGGTGTAGCTGTGTAGTTAAAAATGGCTGTATGTCTTGATTAGACCATGGGCACGTCAGCAGCTGCTAATGTTATTTCAGCACAGTTGCCATTGTGGAAGTTTTTTGCATTAATTAAAAAGAAGTTGGTAAAGCATGGCTGTACCTCGGTGTGTAAGATGTGCAGGCAAACACCCTCTCAGAGCAGGAGTTGCTGTGCTGGTTATGGCACTAACATTAGTGTGAGAGCTCAGCCTTTACGTCGGTGAGACGTAATGGGCTCCAGTGTTGGCCTTTTCTCACTTGAAAGGTTTGTTTGGAATTTGGATTGGCTGGCATATTGTTTCATTGTCATAACTTAAAACAGTTCACACTTAAACATTTTTAAACGTGGTTTGATATTCTAAGGCTTTTCTTTTTTAAAAAAAAAATGAGAGACGCAAGTGAAGAATTGTGAAGTTTGGGGACTTACGTTGTGGCATTGTGAAAATAAATAAGCTGATGTGAAAGGAGCCCTGCTCTGTGTACAGCACTTTGTATGGTAAATGTCCTTAGGAAAGTTTGCACTGTAAAAGTTGTCATCCAGTGGTGTTTACTTCTAAAGACCTCTTAAGCCAGCAGTGTTTGTCCCACCCCTAGGTCTGGCACTCAAGCCTTTGCATTGTGAGACCTTAAATGACTTCTCAAGCCTCAGAGTTCACAGGTGCAGCCTTGTGATGATTCTAGGCTGGAGCATGTAGAAAACTTTGCCCCCATTTCCAGAGTTCCTCAGAAATCCACATGGGATACCTATACATCTGAAGAGAAACAAAACAAGCCCCTTTCCTGTCTTGACTGGTAGAAACAATTAATCCTAGAAGAGAACAGAGATCAGGGTTTTTGTTTGTTTTTTAAATTAAGCTGATGCTTTTCCAAATCCCTGGCACCTTTCCCCCTGGGCTTCAGAAAAGCAGGTAAATAAGTACTTATTTACAGAATAAATAACTAGACTCAGCTTTAAAACTCTGTCTTGGAGAAAAATGCAAAGTGGTTTCAGATACAGTCTGGAGCCACAAGCCTTGCAGTCTCTGCATCTGGAAGAATGTCTGCTCAGCCTGTTAAGCGTGAGCAACAGGAAAAAGGTGGTCTGCACAGTGACCAGCCGCAGGGCTTTTTAAACTGTCCTTTCACTTTGTACCTAAGAATTAGGGGACAAGCTCTGGGCTCTGTCTTAGAGAGTCTGACTCCCTTGTCTGAAGCAAAGCTGTAGAAATATAATTTGCATTTTATATAAGCTTCAAGATAATAAATCGATCTGTGAGCCACACTGAGCAGCATTGTGTGACTCAGTCTCCTGTTTTCAAAAACAGGTCAGTAAAATGGTAACTTAGATAAACAGAGTGACATGAGAAGGATGTTGTTTCTAAGAAAACAGCTGTCCGAATTAATGTGACTGCTCCGTATCTTTACTGGGTTAACCTTGTAAAACTTTACTGGATGAAAGAAAGAAAAAACCCTTTGGGGTGAAAATATATATAATTTTTTTTTTTTTAATCTTTTTTGAGACAGGGTCTCCCTGTAGCCCCAGCTGTCCTGGAACTCACTGTGTAGACCAGGCTGGCCTTGAACTCACAGAGATCCGCCTGCCTCTGCCTCCCGAGTGCTGGGATCAAAGGTGTGCGCCACCACGCCCAGCCTTAAGGAGTGAATATATTTTAATTGAAGTAGTAAATCATTGAGTATAATTTAATTAATTTGAATCACTGGACTTTCTCAGAAAAGCAGGCAGCAATATGGTGTACTCATTCTGTAGTGACAGCTGACCTTGAGTTTCATATTAAAGAAAAGTATTCAAATTCTTAGTATAAAAATGCGTATATGTGTTTTTATTAGAGAACAACCATAGTAAACTCTTATTCCCAGGGAACCCAGTCTGAGCTTTTACACCCATCAAAAAGAGAAGGTATTGTTTCATGTAATTACAACATCTCATAGAACTGGCCTGTGGGATTATCAGAACTTTCTAAGTTGCCCTCAACCTCTCAGGAGCCTTCACCTTGGGGAGGGGAGAGGAGTGTCAGGGAGGAGGCGCTTGGCTGCTTCCGGAAAAGGCACTGCACTGCACTGCACTGTCACAGTTCCTACCTTTGGTGTCTTTGATGGTGTTTTGTTGTTGTTCGTTTTGTTTGTTTTTTAGTTCTGGGGACTGAATTTAGCTCCTTGTGTATGCTAAATACCCTACCAATTAAGCTACACGCCCATGTCCCCTTTTTTTGAGACAGCAGCTCACTCTGTAGCCCTAGTGACCTTGAACTCAGAGATCCTCCTACCTCTGCCTCTGGAGTGCTGGGATAAAGGCGTGCACCACTATGCCTGGCTCCTCCGAATTTCTTATGTTTGGTTTGGGGTTTGTTTTTCTCACTGAATATCCACTTCCTGGTGGTTTTGATCTGCTAACCCTTTATCTTACTCATTTCTGACTCTACCCCCACCTGGCCACAGCCTCAGTCATGATTACAGTTCTTTAAGACCTATCTATGGCTTTGCGGTTATGAGCTACTCAAATCAGATACTCAGCTGTTTGCTTAACCTGATGGAGAATTGTCTGGAATGGATGGAGCCAGCCCTTGATTGCTTGGTTAAGAGAGAGGATTGGAGTCTGGAGGGCAGGTTGCTACTGACAGTCCCTTGGGCCATCTGCTGGACTCTGCTGTGTCCTAGCAACTCTTACTAGAGAATAAAAACAATTACAGCTCTTTGTTTATCAGTCTGAGTTTATTGAAGCACCCAGGGAGGGAGAGGGACAGCAACCTTGCTAAATGCCAGAAAGGGACTGCTGTCCAGGGGAGGGACCATTGATGGGCTTATGTAGTATATAGCTGTGGCCGGCTGACTATGTGCAGATCAGGGGCACTCTTGAGAAGTTTATAGCCCCTTCTTCCTGGCATCATTTGCTCTGGCTTATCTTCAGAGACAAAGGGCTTATGATCTCCTCTTGGGACTGTTTGCTCAAGCAGACAGGCTGTCTTGGGAAACAGGCTATCTCAGCAGTCCTCCCAGGAGGGAGGGAAGTAGCTGATTGATAATGCCAGCTTTCTGCAACCAGGGTATTCTGTCACTGCTAGCCTTAGGAATACCACTACCCTTAACGCTAGCCCTAACCCTAACTAGCCTAACCCAAACCGTAACTGCAATCTTAACCAACCCTAACCCTGAACCCAACCATAATCCTCGCATAATCAGCCCTCATCCTAATTCACTAGGTTTAACTCAAGTCTTATGCCTGGTCATAGCCCTAACCCTAATCTTGACCCAGCCCTAGGTCTAAACTTATCCCTAGACTGAATCTTAACCCTAACACTAATCCTTGCCCTAACAGCCCTAGCCTTAATCCTAACTTTAGATACAACATCTGCCCTAACCCTAACCGTAACCCTAGTTTAGTTAAAAAACCTAACCTTAATCCTACCCTAGCCCTAACCCAAACTCTGTCCCTATATATAACTAACCCTAGCTCTAGCCTTAGCCCCAAGTCTAACCCTAGATTTAGCCCTATCCCAAAACTCTTAACTCTAGCCATAATCCTAATCCCTAAATTTAATCATAGCCTAGCCCCAGACCTAATTGTAATTCTGACCCTAACATTAGTGCTAACCCTTACCACCATAATCCCAACTTTAAACCTAGCTCTAGCACTATCCTAGCAGTGTCCCTAATCCTAACCTTAATCTTAACCCTAATCCTGTTATCTTATTCCAAAACCTAACAGTAACCCTGAGCCTAGTGTAGCTCTAATCAAACTGAACCCAAACCCAAGCACTAAACCTAATCCAATCCCTAGACTGGAATTAACCCTAACCCTCCCCCTTGCCCTCATCCTAGCTCTAAACTTAAACACAGACCTTAACCATAACATTAATTCTAACCTTAACTAGCCTTTACCCTAACCCTAACCTAAACAGACACTAGGCCTAATCCTAACTCCAGTGATAACCATACCCTTATTATAGCTTAATCCCAAAACAACCATAGCCATAACCTTAACCCTGGTTTAGCTCTAACCCTAACCCTATTCCTAGCCTGGAACTAGCACTTAACCCTAAGCTTAATCCTAACCCTAGTGTAGCCCAAAACCTAAATCTAAATATAAGCCTACTCATAGAAATCACACTAGGGGTTGGAGAGGTGGCTCGGTGGTTAAGAACACTAACTGCTCTTGCAGAGGACCTGAGTTCAATTTCCAGCATCCATATGGCACTAACAACTGTAACTCCAGTTCCAGGGGATCTGATGCCCTCATCTCTGTGGGCATTGCATAACACGGGTGCACTTACAGGCAGGCAATACACTCATAAACATAAGAAAATTTTAAAAAATCACAGTAATGTGGCACTTTTATCTTGGGGGCATCAACAGCTCCTAATTTGACTAAAAACCCACTCAAAGGGATGAAACTCAAGTGTGGTACTGTAACATAACCTAATACACATGGCCGGAATGGTCGTAGATCTTAGAGAAAACCCCAAAACTCTCACATCACTAGGCTAATGTGCTTCCTTACTATATGTAAAATATGTATCCTTATATTTACAAATATTCCAGTCGCCACTAATCAAAGAAGCTCACTTTGTAGCAGTCAGAGACTAATACCAAGTACCACAACTGGTCACACATGGACATTGTTTACGAATTACCCAGGCCTAAGGGACACATCTGCAATGCAACCTCTACACCTAAGGCTCATAGAACATAGAACAGGGATAAAGAAGAGGACACTAAGGATCAGTTCTCAATAATGAAGCTCCTCATGCAGCGGGGGGCCAGGAACACAAAAGGTCACAAATGGCCATAGTGTAGAGATCAAGAGTCTGCTAAATAATGGTCCTTGGACAGGACCCCTTTATTAAACTTCACTTACCCAAGGCTCAGGGACCAAATGGAAGTGGGGACAGAAAGATTCTAAGAGCCAGGGAGGAGTGCATGACCATATGGAAACGGTCCTACAAGCTCCTGGGAACCTGCTCATATGAGTCTATGGCAAGGTGCCAGCATGCACAAGTCCCATGCAAACTCCGGCAGACAGTAACCCAGCATAGAACTGGGAAAATGAACAGCAGGCCCCAATCTTATCTAAAGGAATGTTGGTAACTGATTGCTGCTAGATGAAAAAGAGCGGATCTTCCTAAAACAAGGGACTCCAGATAGGCTGACTAGACTCAGTGGATGGACTTGCACTGGGTAACGGCTGAGGTCACTGACAACACGGTGGGCAGTAACAGGGATGACAGAGTATATGGGCTCCAGTGTATGCATGTGGGGAGGCTATGGGAGGGTGCCAGTGGGGATGGGGGTATAAAGATTATTAAGATTGTTTGAGATGTTCTGTATGACGCAAGCAAAAAAAAAAAGAAAACAAAAATCATAGTAATCAAACCATTTGCCTAGCCCTAGCCCTAGTTCCAGCCCTAACCCTAACCATGGCCTTAATGCTAACCATAATCATAATGGTTAATCCTAGTCCTAAACCTGTTAACCCTGGCCCTAACCCTAACAGTAATAGTAACCCTAGCCTAGTCCTAGCAC